GGGGGGGGGGGGGGGGGGCATGGCCCGGGCGCTGCAGACGAGCTGCGGGGGTCGGGGATCCGGGGCCGGCTTGGGAAAGCGACAGCACGTGGTGATCGGATCTGCCCGCTGCATCCCTCCCCCCCATACCCCTTTCCACCCCTAGCGCCCCCCCCAGCTCCCTGCCCTTCCTCTTCTTCCCACCGCCTCTCTCCTCCCCCTGCACCCGTCCAACCCCATCTCCCGCACGTCCCGCTGCCCCCCTTTCTGCCTCCCCTTGGCCCTCCCCTGCCAGGTCGCTCCCCTCCTCCCGCTCTTCTTGCAGCTGGTTCCTGCGTCCCCTTTGAACTCCCTGGCGTGCCAGCTCCCTTCCTCCCCACCGTGGGGATCCGCTCTGGGCCCTGGAAAACAGCCCCGATCGCCCCTCACTCCGGGGAAATACCAGGGGCGCCCGCTCTCCCATGAAAAATGGCAGCTAGACATGGCCTGGCTGTGGGAGAAGGGCTCTGACAAGCCACCTTCCTGGGAACGATCGGGGCGGATTAGATCAGCTGCTTCCAGAAAAGTTGCTCTCGGGTCGGGGTGATGTCCCAGGGGTGAATTAGGACTTTGTTTTGCACCGCCCGTCTGGGTATTGTTACTGGGAATGGGGCAGCTTGTTCCTTCCTCGGCCACATTCCTCCATCATTAACCGAGCATCAGGATTTATGGACAGTGCATTGGCTCTCCGGGATCGCTTCAGAGTGCATCGCTTCCAACAGGTTTAGCAAGCACAGTCGTGATATTTCTGTCTCCGGTCGGCTACTAGATGAATTCCCTCTCTGGACAGTGATAGCGATGTAGGTAGATACAGGATCGCATTGTACCCACAGCTCTGCTCTTTCTGCCCACAGCTTTGTTTTGTACAGTATGACCTCAGCCCATTCCTGTGCAGCATCAAAGTGTATTTAACGTGTTTTACATGGAGGGCCACATAAGTACAGTAACAGAATTGTGGATACTTCACAGGAGAAGAACCAAAACCTGCTTGGCTTATTTTACTTGCTTAGTTATGCATTTTGGTCAGGCTGATTTGATATATAGCCCCTCATATATATGTGTGAGTCTGAACACGTTCACATTCTGTATCTGAAATTATTTCGTGGGGTTATTAAATAAAACCTTTCATTTTACTTTACATGTCATAGTTGTAGTTTCTCTATGCTACTGGCCAGGTACAGTAGCTTAATAGAGTACAATATGAACCCAAATGACTTTTTTGGAATAATGACAACTGAAAAAAAATATTTTCTTTTCTTTTTTCCCCTTTCTTCCTTAGATTTTACATCCTTCTTCGGGAGCATGAGACTGTTTGCTGATCACAAGAAGATGTGGCTGTGGCTCGTATTGGTGTTGTCAACCCCGGTTTCTCCTACAAATGTAGATCCTGACTTCTCGGTGGAGATTTGTAATGTTTGCTCTTGTGTGTCAGTTGAGAATGTACTGTACGTCAATTGCGAGAAGGTGGCAGTCTACCGACCAAATCAGCTCAAACCACCTTGGTCCAACTTTTACCATCTCAATTTTCAAAACAACCTGCTAATTATTCTCTATCCAAATACCTTTCTGAATTTTACATATGCTGTGTCCCTACAACTGGGGAACAATAAATTGCAGAACATTGAGGGAGGAGCATTCCTGGGGCTCAGTGCATTAAAACAGTTGCACTTGAACAACAATGAATTAAAGATCCTCCGCGCTGACACTTTCCTTGGCATAGAGAACTTGGAGTATCTCCAAGCTGACTACAATTTAATCAAGTATATTGAACGGGGAGCCTTCAATAAGCTCCACAAGCTGAAAGTCCTCATCCTTAATGACAATCTGATTTCATTCCTGCCCGATAATATTTTTCGATTCGCTTCTCTAACCCATCTGGATATACGGGGGAATCGAATACAGAAGCTTCCCTATATTGGAGTTCTGGAACACATTGGGCGAGTTGTCGAACTGCAGCTGGAAGATAACCCTTGGAATTGCACTTGTGATTTGTTGCCTTTGAAAGCTTGGTTGGAAAATATGCCCTATAACATTTATATCGGAGAAGCGATCTGTGAAACACCCAGTGACTTGTATGGAAGGCTTTTGAAAGAAACCAATAAGCAAGAGTTATGCTCCATGGGGACTGGGAGTGATTTTGATGTGCGCATTCTGCCTCCATCCCAGCTGGAGTCTGGTTATAGCACGCCTAATGGCCACACAACACAGACGTCAATGCACAGACTAGTGACCAAGCCTCCCAAAACTACCAGTCCGTCCAAGATCTCGGGGATAGTCGCAGGGAAAGCACTATCGAATCGCAATCTCAGTCAAATTGTGTCTTACCAGACCAGGGTACCTCCTTTATCTCCTTGCCCAAACCCATGTGTCTGCAAAACTCATCCTTCTGATTTGGGATTAAGTGTAAATTGCCAAGAAAGAAATATAGAATCGTTGGCCGAACTGGTACCAAAACCTTTAAATGCCAAGAAACTGCATGTAAATGGCAATTATATTAAGGATGTGGACACCTCAGATTTTGTTGACTTTGAAGGGCTGGATTTACTTCATTTAGGCAGCAATCAGATTGCAATAATCAAAGGGGCAGTTTTCCGCAACCTTACAAATTTACGGAGATTGTATCTTAATGGCAATCAGATAGAGCGGCTGAGTCCAGAAATGTTTGCTGGCCTCCACAATTTGCAATATCTGTATTTGGAATACAATGTTATCAAAGAAATTTTAGCAGGCACCTTTGACTTCATGCCAAATTTGCAGCTGCTCTACTTGAACAACAATCTTCTTAGAAGTCTGCCAGCTTATGTTTTTGCCGGGGCTCCACTGGCTAGACTGAATCTGAGGAACAATCATTTCATGTATTTACCTGTAAGTGGCGTTCTTGATCAGCTCAGATCTCTTACACAAATTGATTTGGAAGGTAATCCATGGGACTGCACGTGTGATTTAGTTGCTTTAAAGCTATGGCTGGAAAAACTAAATGAAGGTATTGTGGTGAAGGAGTTAAAATGTGAAACACCTGTTCAGTTTGCTAACATTGAACTGAAGTCTCTCAAAAATGAGATCTTATGCCCTAAACTTCTAAACAAGCCATCTGCTCTGTTCACTAGCCCTGTGCCTGCTGTCACTTTTACAACACCGCTGGGTCCAATTCGAAGTCCTCCTGGTGGCCCCGTTCCATTGTCCATCCTAATCTTAAGCATACTAGTTGTGCTTATTTTAACAGTGTTTGTGGCTTTTTGCCTTCTTGTCTTTGTGCTTCGGCGCAACAAGAAACCAACGGCAAAACACGAGGGAATTGGGAACCAAGAGTGCAGTTCCATGCAACTGCAGCTAAGAAAGCATGACCACAAATCAAACAGAAAGGATGGACTAGGAGCAGAGCCCTTCATTCCTCAAACCATTGAGCAGATGAGCAAAAGTCACACTTGTGGCTTAAAAGATTCCGAAACAGGCTTCACATTTGCTGATCCACAAGGGCAAAAAGTCATTCTGAGAAATATTACCGACAAGGAAAAGGATTTATTGCATGTGGATCCCAGAAAAAGACTTAGTACAATTGATGAACTGGATGAGTTGTTTCCTGGGAGGGATTCCAATGTATTTATTCAGAATTTTCTTGAAAGTAAAAAAGAATACAACAGCATAGGGGTCAGTGGTTTTGAAATACGCTATCCAGAGAAACAACAAGACAAAAAAATCAAGAAGTCATTAATAGGCGGTAATCATAGTAAAATTGTGGTAGAGCAAAGAAAGAGTGAATATTTTGAACTAAAAGCTAAACTTCAAGGTTCACCTGACTACCTACAAGTCCTTGAAGAGCAAACAGCTTTGAATAAAATATAGGTCATGCAATCTTATTTCTTACAGAGGACATTTCTTTAATGATGAAAGTGCCTTTTGTTGACTTTTAACTTCCGAATACTATATCATATAGGTAGGCATAGAGGCAGGTATATCCAAGGGTATCTATCTGTAGCTGCATATGGTTTGTCAAGTAGAGGAGAATTTCCTTTATAGATTTTACTACATAAAGCTGATACCCACTGGAATCCTGTAGGGATACTGCAAACTCTATTGCCAAAGGGATGCTTTAGACACATATTACACTGAATTTAACCTCAAGAGGCATATATGTTTTGTACCTTAAATGCAAAACCTTCGTCTCCTTGTGATTTGTTAGAACAAACACAAGAAAACTGGTACCAGTGTTTGTACCTTTGCTGGGTAATTCATCTTGCACGTGGATTAAGTTGGTGGAACTTGAGTAATCCTTTGATTTGTGGTGGTGTAATGGCACTGTTTAAAGATTATCTGAAAAGTAAAAAGCATGCAAAGAGAGAACATTCAATAGTATGTGTAAATTGGTTACATTTATGGCCTGCATCTTGAAATCACTGGATTTATAATGTTAAAATTGTGCAAATATTTGTTTAAAATATACCATACATAACATACCTATAAAATAAATCTGACCACTTGAAATATACCTGTCTATACATAACATTAAAAAAAGAAAAGAAAAAAAGTGCAACCTGACTTCTGCAGCATTTGTAGTGACATGAAGAAAATACTTGATGTTAATGCAGAATCTTATGTAAGACTCAAATCCAATTAAGACTAGAGTTCCTTCTCAGTTATGTGACACTTCTACAACCCCAAAAGGTTGACCAAACTTTGCAAAGTGCTTACTGTGTGAGCGTAGCAGAAATTATTTTTGTAAGATCATTCATATTTATGAAATACTTTGTATACTAAATAGGAAAATATGTACTCCTTACTATGTATTTAATATGCCTGACTTGTTTTCCTGATCACAATGCATTAATCATTCAATATAAATTAAAAACAGAACAATATACCAAACAAAAACTGGTGAGAAATTGTATAGCATTATTTGGGATCCTGTGATCAGGTATAATAATAATAATAAAAATGTTCTGTATAATTCTTGTGAAATTAGTATATTATCTTATTTCAGATTTGTTACCAATGGTGCATTTTAAAATAGTTTCATTAGGTTTTTTTTAGTATTGTTGTCTAAGGCAATTAATTGCCATCAATTGTCTTGTTTTTCAGGGGTCTGCAGCTTAACCTAAATAGTTTTCACTACAAGTATTTTCAGGCATTAATGAATAAGGGTAAATGTTTAATTGTATATGCATCAATTCTCTGTCCCTGTTATCTTTCTGACTGCTGTCAGTCAAATAATGAACCAGAGCAGTAAACCATATGGCAATCATGTGTGTATCAAAGTCACATTGTCAGATGGATTTAGTGGTCTCGGTTCAATTCAGAGTATTTTGTAGTCCACCTCTATAAAGCTTTTGTGAAAGCTGAATCTCAGTTGATAGCAACTAATGGTCAAGATGGAAAATGCCTCCTTTTTCTCATTGGGAGATGGTAATTTAAGATCAGAGTAGGCATGTGTTGGTAAAGCATCATACAGAAAATCTACACCACACATCTGATCCAAAGCCCATTCAAGATAATAGGGGGTTCTCCACTCATATCAATGGACTTTGGATCAGGACCTTAACCTGTCTTACTGCCATATTATGATACTCCCCCTCCCTTTTAAAATCAATACATAAGTCAATCAAGTTGCAATAGAAAATAAACGTTAATGTTTTCATGAGTTCCAAGTGGCAGCTATTACAACAAAGCCTGATAGCACCACTGTGGTTAAGGCTGTGTCAGCATTTTCCAGTCTAACCCTCTAATTTCAGGATTTTATAACATTGCTGTAAAATTTTATTCTGGGATGATCCTTGGCATAATGCCTGGAATATTTTTTTAACAAAGTTTTTTAAAAGCATCAGCGCTTCTTTATTTTAAAGAGAGAGACAGTGAGAGACATTTTTCTACGTGCAATTTCAATTTTTTTCCCCTAATTTCTTCATGAGACAAAATGTATGAGGGACATTAGATTTTTTTATATATATATATATAAATGAACAACAGAGTGGTTCATCTTTGAAAAAAAGCTGCTATTACACTTACGCACTAATTTATTGCATTCAAAGTGTCAGAAGGATTTTCTGGATATGGTTACTATGCATGCATATGGTCCTGGCCTAAAAGATTCCTAGTTGCTTGTTGACCCCAATCTCTGCACAGGCTCTGAGGAAAATGTTTTAGTTTATTGTGTCAGAGGCCTTTGGATGAAAGAATCTTAAAGATGCACTGAAAGCTAGAACATAAAAGCAACATCAGCAATCTGAGGACAGTGGGTTGCTGCCTTCTACTCAGTGCTGCACAACTTGGTGGAGATCTCACAGAACCCTGAGATTTGCCAAGGCAGAAAGCATTTGACCCACACTTCAAGCGTCATCAGAACCTATGTCTCAAATCCTTCTATTGAGAGATGTGCATTAAAAAAAATACTGCATGAATAACTGCAACATTGTGAACGTTGTTAAGGGTGACATGTTTGTGGTTGATGTTGATCAGGGTTAACAGAACAACAGTTAAGGTTGATATTCCTCCCTCAACTACATTATAAGTCATCTGTCAGGGGAAATGGACTGTTTAAGAGACGAATTTTGCCATTATGCTTGCATTAGGTAGTTCTGGTAGGTCCCCCTCCAGCAAAGCATTTCATCTTTAATCAGGTGCAATGAGAGTACTCGTGAGTTTAGGAGTAAGCACGTGTTTAAGTCCGTTGTTGGATTAGGGCCTAAATGCATGATACCTTGGGCATTGATTTAAATGGGAGCAGGAGAAGGAGTATTGTTGTATATGTTACATAGTTCACACCTGCTGTAGAACCCTTATGCCTTGGTGATCACTTTGCTCCCATGACTTGCCTGATTGAATTCAACAGGGTCACTGGAATGCATACATGCCTACCTGTGCTCGGGGTCACTCAATCTGGACTTTATTTTCTCTCAGTAGTGTTTTACAATATAGTGCAATAGCTAGGCATAGCAGTGTGAGTAAAAAAAAAAATCGGGGTGGTCAACCCATTATGTGTCCTTGATGATGTTGGTTTAAATTGCAACCTGAATGTTAGTTGACTTCCTCCAACATTTAAGGACAGTGTATGTTCCAGGGTAATAATTTGGTGGAATGTTCACTCAATTCTAATGCTAGTTTATCCAGGAAAGGCACTTTTCCAGTGTGGCTAAACAACCCAGCCCGTCTTTGCATTATATTGATTTGAGTGGCCATGTTGTTAAAGTAGCTGCACATTCAGGCAGCACTAAAGGAGTGAAGGTGTTAACGTAATTTACAGTGTTCATTGTATTATAAATCAAGTTTACATTTTTAATGAAGTCAATAAAGTGTAATCATTTCTTTGAAAGAGAAATTTTTGTGCAATTTTATCAAAACGCAGTCATAGTAATGAAGGAAGTTGAGTCCAGACACCAACTGACATTTTACATTTAGTTTTCCAGACTGAGAGTAAATAAATCTGAAAGATAATCCAAAAGATAATTTTTGAAGCCATAAGAATGGTGTACATTATAAAAGGCATGGCCTTGTGAATAATGTTAACAAATGTTTGAGTAAACAAACACGTCTAGAAAATGATGGTGGTATAATATCTATAATATTTTTGCATGATTTGTACATTGCTATTGTATGAAATGAGCGCAGTAGGATTTTTTAATTTTTTTTGTTTTATTTAATTTTATTTTGCATCCAAAGAGTTGGGAAGGAAATATGACAAGAATGTATTTATAATCACTCTATTTTGAAATAAAGCAAAGAAAACAAAATGTATTGTTTTTACCCTGCTTTGATCATTACTATTTTTAGATTAGTTTATAATACAAAATAGACTTCACTTATAATATCCAGTATAATGTAAAATTCAGAAAAAAAAATGTTTCAGTGACCTTTGTTTGCTTTCAACAACATCAAGATATTAGAGAGAATTTATTTAAAAGATTTGTATTGAAATATTAATAAAATTGTTTGGTACAATCATATTTCTGAAACTAGACTTTGTTAAATGCCTAACATTTGAGTTTGTTTTCAGAAGAGAGAAACGCTAAACCAGTTAGACATTATTTTATATTGATTAATATTTGGGCAAGTATTTAAAAAATATTTATCCCCCTATCCAATGTTTAGATCAAATCTGCTTTCCTTACTTATCCAAATAGTCTCAACTGAAGTCAAATGGGACTGTTTGCATTAGTAACATGAGCCCAAAATAGCTGCTAGTCAGTTTCTGGTGTCTTCCACATTGAAATGCCTGGAAGAACAATCATACAATGTTAAGGACATTTGTCTTGACCTTGATCCCCTTTCATTAATCAGTTTGTATAAGACAATTTTGCAAAGGATCAAAATTAATTTATGTTTAATTAATTCTGTCCACTGGCCTTTCCTGAATCTTAGAAGCATTTGTAGATGAAAGTCAAGACAAGACCCTCAGTTAGTTTAGGCTCCAAATTTAGATTTTATATTAAAAATGTTTTGCAAATCTTAATAAAAATCTTCATGTAAAACTAGATTAAACATTCCCCCACAGTCCTAGATTAAACATACAGCATGGAAGTCGTGTAAGGAAATCAAAGAGTGATACAGACTAAGAAATTAGGACTTAATGCTGATTTTTTTCCATTGTACAACAGCAGTGAAACCTAAAGAGTGAACCAAAAGCATATGGGTGAAAACTTTAGGCCTAGTCATGCAGCCAATAGGCATTCCTTCTGAATAAAAAACTTGAAGCATAAGTACTTTTTGAAAATTATTTCATTTTCAGTTTTGATGGTGTTTTTATAATACAGATACATACAGTTGTTTTCTAAAAATAGAGGCTTGTTAAGTTGATGGCATGCCCTTCGTATATCTTGCATGGGCAGTACTGTATTTTTAACTTCAATTCAAATTTACAAAACACATTTTGCAGTGACAGATACTGTACTGAAAAATAAAATTAGAAAAACAACTTTCAGGGATAAAATCTTCTCACAGATACACTAGTGTGAATGTGAAGTATCTCCGCTGACTTTACTGGAGTTTACCTTGATGAGTATGAAAACAGAAATCAGTTCTGGAATTGCAAGGGCTGGATTCAGCTCCCATGAAGTCAGTGGGGAGTTTAGTCATCGCTTTTAACTGGAACATGTTCAATTCCTAGAAGAAAGACAGCATGATCTTGATTCTGCTGCCATTAAATCAGTGGCAAAGCTAAAATTAAATTCACTAAGGCCTGGTCTACACTATAAAGTATCGAAATAAGATACATATGTAGCTGGAGTTGTGTATCTTATATTGCATTTCCATGACATCCACACAGAAGAAGGCCGACGGGAGCAAACACTCCCATCGACTTCCCTTACTCCTTATGAGGAACAGTAGTACTAGCACAGAGAGAGCATCAAGAGGCTTTGAGTTCAATCTAGCAGGTCTATGGTACACCCACCAACTCAAACCCCAGAAGATCGACTGAGGCAGTGTCGATTTTCTGTGTAGTGTACACATGTCTTAAGGGCAATATTGAATCTAGTATGGGCTTGGTCCCATGCCTGTCAAAGGCGGTGACAAAACTCCCAATGATTTACACTCTGCGAGACATTGTGTAATAATGTGGATGACCAAACAGGTTAGTTTCCTGGGTTTAATCCCTACATTTAATATTTATTATGCCTTTCCTATCATAACATTTTCCCCAGGATATCTACACTACCAACATGTAGTTGAAGGGTAATAGATATTTAATAATAATACAACCCCAAACACCTAAAATATTCAAATGCTGAACCTGGAGTTGATAACAATGTTATGGATACCAGTAACCCTTTGATCATAACTGTGCTCCTCCTGAGCTAAATAAGGGCCTTATGAAAATATCTTTACTTTAATAGTGATTTTTCATAGTGATTAATAATATTTAACCCTGTTTTCAGTATTGGATGAAAGCAGTGCATTTTGAGTAGTTTGCTATCTATGAAAATATCAATTCTTACTCACGAATGCCAGTGCTCTAGTCTATTGATTTTTCAATCAGTTTATATAAAGAATGTAGGAAGTTAATACTGAATAATTTCTCCAAGCCACGAACATATATAGGGCAAGGACAAAGAGACTTATCTTTTTGTTTGAGACCCAATTTATATTGACTATGAATAGTTCAAATATAAATAGGCCAGTTCCTCAGCTTGTATAAATCAGCTTCAAGGGGCTGCTACAGTTCACACTTTCTAAGCAGCTGGCCTGAAGGTCCCTGTTTAGCCCGCAACAACGAGTGACTGAAATGGAGCTTTGTCCGCCTCTTGTACACATACCAAAACAAATTATTCCAAAGGGCTGTCCAAAAGCATTTCATGTAATCACTAAATCGTATGAGTTGTCCAGAAATGTGTCCTCCTATTTGTCAGGGTACCCTTCCCTAAACCACCTCCATTTTTATCAAGCATCTATTCCAATTCTGTGCCATTCAGTGTTTGTCTAGATCAGTGATGTCCCATTGGGGTTCTATGCATGGCCCACAAAACAATTTGTTTTCCATTGCCCATGTACAGGACTGCCAGAAAAACAATTTGTTTTCCATTGCCCATGTACAGGATTGCCAGACTGCTGGTTTGTGTCTGGATAGTTTTTTCCCCCCGCCTCCACTGGTATTACAAAAGACACATGCATGAAAGCCAGGACATATGGGGTGAGGTGTGTGCTCACTGATTGGGTATAGAAGTGGTAACAACATTGTGTACAAAGTGCTGCTGGAGTTCAATCGCACACCCTGCAAATTCTAGGTACACAAGTGCAGTTAGCAAAACTACCCTATCCCAGGAGACTGTCTTGGTTACGATAATCTTGCAGCCCACTGAGATGAAAGAGGGCCACTCACGCAGCCCACGCACTAGCCTAGGTTGCCTTTCACTGGTCTAGACAATTTCTAGAGAGCCACTGGCTTGTGTTTCACCCATAATCAATTTGAAAAAATAATGCAAGTTGTAGTGGACTTGCCTCTGGATAGTTACAGAGACCTATCAGATGATGGATGATGCAAAAATTGGCAAAAACCACTTATGAAAAGGAGCTGGTATTAACTTCCCCCTATGAGAACATTCATGTTGAGCCTGTGAAGTCCAAATATTCTTAAGTTCGTGATTTCTTGGGAATATAAGTGGTAGACAGAGCTATCTGGCAGTTCAATACCTCCACAGATCAACTGTCAGGCTACCTCTAGACTGAAAGCCTCTTTCAAAAGAGGCTTTTTTGAAAGATACTTTCGAAAAAGCCTCTTTCGAAAAAGAGCATCTAGACTACAACCAGTACTTTCGAAAAAGCAAGCCTCTTTTATGAAAGAGAGTACCAGGCCGTCAGGATGCTCTCTTTTGAAAAAGCACAGTTTGCATTACATAGTTCCTTTTTTCGAAGGAGCACTTTTGAAAAAAGGCATTCTTCCTAATAAAACAAAGTTTTCCATGGTTGAAAAAATGCCGCATTCTTTCAATTTACTTTCGAAAGAACGCAGCAGCAGTCTAGATGCAGGTGAAGTTTTTTCGAAAAAAGGACACTTTTTTCGAAAAAACCCTGTAGTCCAGACACACCCTTACTCTGCCTCTAACATCCATAGACACAGAAAGTAATTTATTTGGAAGGGGATTTGTATTGTGGAGTGAGAAGAAGTGATCTAGCCCTTTGAGACCAACCAATCAAACTGGGAGTTAAATCATATCCATATGGATCTATTGGTAGGCTTTCCTCCTTGGTTTGGTGCCATTTGAAGGTCAGGAGTGTTGGGCAAATGTTTATATTAATATTGCCTTTCTGCATCATATTCATTTCCATATGTGCATTTTATTTGCATGTGGGTACCTGGATGGTTTCAGGTCCAATGTTTGTTTGCCAAAATAGCAGAGAGAATGTATTTTTCAGGTGTTTTCCCACTCAGATCTGGACATGAACCAAAGCCCTATAAATATATCTCAATAGGGAGAGTAACAAAGTGCAACACTTTCTGACAGATTTTGCAGATCACTCATTGCGAGAAACTGCGGGAAACAATGTATTGTACAGCCGATTTCCTTGCTTCCTGGCAGGATTTCATAGATTGTGAGTCCCTATCTGCATGGTATTTTTTCTTGTCTATTGTATACAAACCTTAGGTTGCTGGTGGTTATTTTGCAGTTTGTACACAAAAATAATTTTGGAGAAAAACAACTCCAGCCCTTCCCCCCTCGAAAAAAAAAATCTAAACCCTCATCTATAATGGTCTTTAAATAAAAACAAAATATTTCAGATTTGCCTTTTCCAATATATATGTAGAAAAATACAGAGGGTCGAGGAATGGCTGAACTAGTGAATAATTACCTATATTTCGAGTATTTTGTTAACAAAGAGAAAAACTGGTATTTGATTGTCCTTATAGATTTGTTTTTTCACTTCATGGGCTAAATTCTGCCCTTTGTTGCAGAATTTATAAGCCAGTAGGACTGCGCATGTGCAATTGTGGGTGGTGTTAATTTGCATATGTAAGTCTTCTTAACTTCCTCCTTTTGCCTTGAAATTACATATGAAATGTTGCACATTCTCATCTTCCATTGACTTCAGTGGGAGTTGAGAGCATTTAGCACCCACTTAGGATTGGTTTCTGGAGTCTGATCCTGGGGGAGAAGTATCTGTGAAATCTGTGGAATTGCTTGTGTGAGTAAAAACTATCCCTACACCAGTAGAGGTTTTTTTTCAGGATCAGGCCCACTGTAAAGGTGTATACTATCCCTTTAATGGCCAGGCTGGAGCCAAGAACCAAGGCAGCCTGATGTAATCAAACCTTGGTGCCTTGCTACTTGAAGGACTAGATGATGTTCGAGTATAATGAGTTCTCTCAGGCTCCAGTAGATAAACCAGACCATACTCAGAGATTTTGTTTCGTGGCCTTTAAGTGGAGGAATGCTGAACCCAGGTGCC